GGTCAAGACACACATGGCCGAGCCCTAGATACCCTGCAGATCGACGACGAGGATTGGGTGAGACCCGATATGAGACACGTGCACGAGAAGGGTTGAGAAGTCTCGTGAGACAAGGAATAACACGCGACCAAGCACGCGGGGACGTACATGGGCGTGCATGGGCGATGGGCGTGCGCAGTGTGCGTGATGACGGACGGGGCGCTGAGCGGGCAAAAGGAATCCGCGTCCCAGCAGGCAAAGGAATGGTGAGCGCACGCATGCGCGAATGCGAAGGAATCGGCCAAGAACGGGGTAGCGCGCGAGTGGACGGGCGCATGCCTGGGCGCGATAGGCATAGGCGAGGTTGGCAGCGCGCACGCGCTCGAGGAACTCGGGCGCGGACTGGGCACACACATGGACGCGCGTGCGATGAGGCGGGCGCGCAAGAGACCTACGCCGACGAGGAGTGCGAGTGCACGCGTGAGGCACGCGACGCGCGCGCATGAGGCGGTCGAGATATGGCGGCCGAATACTATGGGCGTGAATTTGGAATTGTTTGGACTGCAAGCCAAGCAAGATCAAGACAATCTAGTCAATTAGGACTCTAGTATATTTAGTTTCCTTCTTGCACAATAATATCTAGATTGTATAGGTTAGTTAATATTTAATTGCTTTAATTAGAGATTTAGTTGGAATAGGATTTATTTACTGCACAGTTTAGGAGATCTATTTAGATTAGAATTAGATTTAGTTTTCTCCTATAAATACCCATGTCCTCTTGTTATTTTTCACATAGAAGAATGAATTGAATCTTGAATAGTCTTAGTTAGTAGTTAGTAGAAAATTCTGAACTTTTGTTCAAACACTTTGCTTTAGTTTTCCACCAAAATTCTATTTCAATTTATTCGTTCCAAGAGACGCGGGCGTGGCTCGAAGAACCCCTATCGGCGATTCAAGGCGCGGGATAGCGGCTTATCGGCAGTTGGGACACGCGATCTTCATCATTGGTGCTTTCATTGAGAGGATCTAGATCGTATGTCTTTTTTCTTCCCCATTCTTTTTCTTTTCGTTTTCTTTTATTTTATTTTCGTTATAAAAAAAAAAAGAAATATATATATTATATATTTTTCTTTGAATCGTGAGTTAGGAAGCATATATATATAAATCTTTTGTTTCTTCTTTTTCTTTTGCGTGCGTTTTAAAAAATAAAATAAAATAAAATAAAAAAATTATAAATATATTTTTTTAGTTGCGTGAGTTTTTTGATAAAAAAAAAGAGTTATTTATTTTATATATAATTGGGGTGCGTGAGTTTTAGAAGGAAAAAAAATATTTGTTTTGCGTGCGTGAGTTTAAAAAAAAAAAATTGTTATATATATATTTTTGGTGTGCGTTAGTATATACATATATATCATCATCATCATCTTCAAACACGAGTCCGCATAGTAAGGAGCGAAGGCAAGAGCGTAAAGAGATGGCCAATCGAGAGATGAAGGAAAAAATCAAGAGCTTGGAAGGGCAATTCAAAACCATGAGCGAATATGTCGATGCAAGGTTCGAAGTCCTAACCAAAGAGTTCATCGACACCAAGACCGCCATAACCGATGACCGCACGGCCTTGATTGAGGCCATGAACCAAAGGTTCGACGAAGTCTTATGGATTTTC